GGTGTATGCTGAATGTAGGTGGTTTTATGGTGTGTTTCTTTATCTGAGTATTTCTATATATATATATTCATACTTAGATATGAGTTCAGTGCATAGTGGAAATGCAGCAGACCTTGAGATTTGATATGGAGGGTATTTGAGAATTATTTCTGACTCTTGTGAACTGCACAGGCTTCATCATCTTTCTGTGTATGTGTTTTCTTCTAGCACGCTAGCAGAAGATTTCATGATATAGATGGAAATGTGATTAAAAGTGACTCTGGTATATGGATTAATGGATTTGACTATAATGGAATATCTCACATAACTCCCCATGTACCTGAAATCAATGACACCATTAGAACTCCCTGTGAAGAGCAGGCGCCTTTCTGTGGTCTCCCTTGGATTCTGCCAGTGCATTTCTTGTTCCGGTTGGTGTGAACGCTGCTTCACTTGAGCACTTACTGCCAAAGCATATTGGTCATTTAAGGCAATCTCGCTTATGCAAGGGAAGAAAAAGTAAGGCTAATCTTGGCCCAAAAGTAAGTAATCCTTCCACTTTGGAAGACGCTTAAAACTTCTGTCTAGGTGCAGTGTCTTCTACCAGCATCTCTACAGGAGATTTCTGGGTCTGCTGCAGGAGCTGTAGAAGTTGATGTGTGGAAAATTAATGTCAGCACCAGTGGAGGAAAAAGGTGAAGGAAGGGCCTTTTAAAAGGCAGTTCAGAGCAGGAATATGTATTCCCTTCTTTCCCACCTCCCCCCAGCTCATAGCAGAGGAAGTCTAAAGCAGGTGGTCTCCACAGAAGCAAACTAGCTGCTGTGACTATTTCTCATGCCCCAAGAATCTTGTGAGCAAAAGTGTACTGGTTTGAAGTTGCAAATGTTCTTCATTGTTTTAATGTTTTGTAATTTAAGGCAGGTGAAGATTATGAATCATGACTGGTTTTCTATTAATATGCTCTTAAAATATTTGTTTGGCCACAAGCTGCTAATTTTACATCCGTCTGCTAGAATCAGTAGCTTTTGAATATTTAATTTAGTAACAGCACAGTTAACTATACTATACAAAAACTTTTTCTGTTCTCATACTTAGTACCTCTAAGTGCTGCACTGAGAATAAGTTAAAACTTACCAGTTTTTCCTGTTACAAAAAAAAAGTATCTTCCTGCTCCAGAAATTTTTCCAAGAAGCCCCATTCACTTCAAAGTTCTGTCCAAGGAGCTGATGCCCTGGAACTCTATGAGGTTAAACTTTGAAGTATCTGGTGAGTGACTAAAACTTCTGGTTTGTGATTTGTGTTTATTTTTATGCCCATAATAAATTAGGTTTTTACTCCAATACTGCAGTTTCTGGTGATCTTCCCAAGATAGCAAGTTTTGTGAGATTACCATGAATTAATTCTGTTTCATAACACCCTAGAAGCTGTGAGTGTTGTGTTGCAGTTGCTGTTTGGGGGACTTGTCTGTTTTTTCTTATAGCAAGTCCTTTCTTACAGTCTGTTTTGTAGCTTTGTCCTTCTCCTACATCATGTTATTTTATTCAGAGCTTAGAAGTCATTGAAGCGTCTTCTCTAAACCTGTTTGTGAACAGAGAAGGACTTGTGGGGTGATGTGATGGTTGAAGGCTGTCTTCAGCAGAGCTATCATGAAATGATAGTTTTCGATTCTCGGAGGAGTGAGGAGAGGATCAGGGCTGCCATCTTGGACTTCTTGGGGCAAACTTTGACCTGTTTAGGAACCTGGTTGACTGAGTCCCTTGGGAGGCAGTTCTGAAGGGCAAAGGAGCACAGGAAGGCTGGACATTCTTCAGGAAAGTGATCTTAAAGGTGCAGCAGCAGGCCTTATCTCCCGTCTGCTGAAGGATGAGCTGGTGAGGAAGAAGAGTGGGCTGAGTGAACAGAGTGATTTGGCTGGAACTCCGGAAAAAAATGGAGAGTTTATGAGCTTTGAAGGAAGGGACAGGTAACTCGGGAGGACTACAAAGATGTCGTGAGGTGATGCAGGGAGAAAATGAGCAGGGCCAAAGCCCTGCTAGAACTTAATTCGGCCACTGCTGTAAAAGACAATAAAAATATTTCTGTAAATATATTGGCAACAAAAGAAGGGCTAAGGAGAATCTCTGTCCTTTATTGGATGCAGAGGGAAACATAATGACAAAGGCTGAAGAAAAGGCAGAATTACTTAATGCCATCTTTACCTCAGTCTGCAATAGTAAGAGCAGTTGTTCTTCAGGTACCCAGTCCCCTGAGCTGGAAAGCAGGGACAGGGAGCAGAATGAAATCCCCATAATCCAAGGGGAAATGGTTTGTGACCTGCTGTTCCACTTAGACACACACACAGGTCTATGCAGGTGGCAGAAGTGCACACCAAGACACTATCCATCATTTACCAGCAGTCCTGGCTAACCGGGGAGGTCCCAGGGCACTGGAGGTTGGCAAATGTGACACCCGTCTACCAGAGGGCTGGAAGGAGGATTAGGGAACTACAGCCTGTCAGCCTGACCTTGGTGCTGGCGGGAATGTTATGGAGCAGATCATCCTGAGTGCCATCACGTGGCACATACAGGACAACCAGGGGATCAGGCCCAGCCAGCGTGGGTTTATGAAATGCAGCTCCTGCTTGACCACCCTGATCTCTTCCTATGACAAGGTGACCCACCTGGTGGATGAGAGAAAGGCTGAGGATATGTCTCCCTGGTCTTTAGTAAAACGGTTGATGCCATTTCTCTCAGCATTCTCCTTCAGAAATCGACTGTTTGTGGCTTGGACAAGCGTACCCTTCGTTGGGTGAAAAACCGGCTGGGTGTCTGGGCCCAAAGTGTGTTGGTGAGTGGAGTTAAATCCAGTTGGCAGCTGGTGCCGTGTGGTGTTCCACATGGGCTGTGTTGGGGCCAGGTCCTGTTTAACATCGTTGTCAGTGACCTGGACAAGGGGATCAAGGGCAGCCTCACTGAGTTTGCAGGTGACACCAAGCTGGGTGGAAATGCGGGTGTGCTGGAGGGTGGGAGGGCTCTGCAGAGGGGGCTGGGCTGAGGGGCCGAGGCCAGTGCTATGAGGGGCAACTGGGCCCAGGGCTGGGTCCTGCCCTTGGCTCCCGGCACAACCAGAAGAGCGGGGGTGTGCGGCC